GCCTCACCCCGCACACGAGACCACTCTCTCTCTCCTGTCTCTTATACACATCTAGATGTGTATAAGAGACAGGAGAGAGAGAGAGTGGGTGAGGTGTGATGTCGTGCGCGCGTACCTGGTCTCACCTGATGTGATGCTGCTGCTGATACTGCTCGCTGCTGAAGGATCACTCATCTGCGAGGGGCTGCATTTGCATCATCCACGAGTCATATTGTGTACAGATTGCTGGCGTGGCAGAGGCAGGGAAGCCTGGAGGAGAAGAGGGAATTGATTGCTACGATATTCTTCTCCTTCCATCTGCCTCTTCTTTTCTAATCTGGATACTCTTGACTTGGAGACTTTTCACGTGGTAATGAAGGATGAACCATGTCTGTTTCTCCCTGGAGATCCTCATGCTTCTTTATTGTCTTCTTTTTTTTACCATATCTCAATGTACATGTGTCATGGGCCATGCTAATCTTCTCTGTATCATTCCTCGCTTTGTCTGATCGTGACCCCTCTTCTGTCTAATCTGTACCCCTTTCTGCATTTTTTTTATTGTAGCTGGTGGAGTTGGACTGATGACCTGGGTTACCGACCACACCGCCCGGGTCACCTTGCTTCTCCGGGCATCCCTGGCGGGCAAGGGTCAGGCAGAAGGTCTCTGCAAGGAAAAATAAGGAAGAAAAGTTAGAAACCAAAAAATCTGGAAAAAAAAAGCTATGTTACGCAGAAAAGTAAAGTGATCAACTTTTGCCTGAGTCACATTGAATATCGTTATATCTTTAGAGTTTAAAACTTTAAATTTTAAATTAATTTATTTTATTTTTCTGTCCCCCTGCCTGGTAAGTTGTCGCAACCCAGTCTGGTAACCTTCCTGATAACTGTCTTGAATTGGGAATTCGAGAGTAATGGATGGTTCTGTCGCTGTGATTTTTTGTGCTGGGTTGATGTGATTTTTGTATCTGGGTTGCTGTGATTTTTTGTGCTGGGTTGAAGTGATTTTTCTTTCTGGGTTGCTGTGACTTGTTGTATCTGGGTTGCTGTGATTTTTTGTGCTGGGTTGTCTGCAGCATAGATGATCAATCAGTGTTTGTTATCGGAACCGATGGTCACATTTATGAGAGGCTTCGGCATGGCAAGGTGCAAATACCAGAAGCCCAAACCTCAAGTTCTTTCCACAGTTTTCTAGAGGGATTTAGTCCTAGAGGCCAGAGGTTAGAAAATATGCGACTATTGATCCACTTCCCATGTGCATGGGTCAGCATGCAGTTATGCACATCTCCCACATTTTGTCGTTCTTGCAATGAACCACGCACTTTGATTGACATCACTCAGTGTATCCATATATTGCATACATGCAAGTACACGCCGTGCAGAAAATTCCGCACGGTCGGCGCACGAGCCGACCCGCTCGGTGCGGCACACGGGGGAAATATTCACTCAGGAAAAAAAGGGATCCCATGGCGGGGTCAATGGTCACCTGCGTCCCCTGTAAAGATGTGTTGTGGGATTGTGGGGGGGGGGGAAACCTAGTGGGAAGGTAATGTCGCTACCTAAACGTCAAGACTGATGTACCAGACACCTATTTGAGGTTATTTCTCATGCCCAATTGGACGGAAAGAAAAATATGTACGACTGTACTTGAAAAAGATACTTTCCTTAGGTGGTGTGATCTTCTGTATCTACAAAAACACCCAAAAAAAAAAAAAAAAAAAAAAAAAAAAACAGGGAAACTGCTGCTGGTACGGCGCACGAGCTCATCAAAGCGGCAGATCTCGCATCAAAGGCCAGCTTTGCAGAGCATTGCGATTCGGGGTAGATCCACATCCCTCCCACCAAGCGTCCTCCCATCAACGACCCCGCCAGCAGCTCATCCATGTTTCTTGCAGGGAATCATCCTCCAAAACATACCAAAGAAAATACAGCCGGAAATACTGGACGAATGATTCTCCAACTCGACCTTGTCCTCTGTGTTCTTCTCCCTTCTCCTTTTGCTTTTGCTCTATTTTTCCTAGAAAGGGCAGTGGCCCTGTACATATCATCTTTGAAGTTTGAAGTTTGAACTGACCATCCACAGGTAAATTCAGAGGTACTTTTACTCATCTGATTCCATCTGGAGTCGAACTCAGGTCTGCGTTTCAACAATTGATGGCCGTAGCAACCGAGCTAGGCCAGTCGGTGCTGCTTCTCCCCTCCTCGCCTCTACCAGGATCACACAAATCTCCAAGATGCCAGTTGCTATAGTCCGTCATCAAAGCTTACCGCCCATACCTTCAATAATGTTCATGCTCCCTGCCATCTTCCACTGAACATGACGCACCTTCATGGTGATGAACATATACAATGATTTTTTCTGGTCCAGTGCAGTCGTGACGAGGGTGCATTGTGTCTGGAGGAAGACAGTAGTGCCTCGGTCTTGAGCAGGCCCCGCTGTGAGCGCCGACCAGATACCCAGGTGCGCAACACCCCCCAGGCATTCGCCATCTGCTTAGCAGCAAGGCAGATGAAAGTTGGACACTCCAAGCTTAAGATTATGGGCTCTTCAGCACATAGGGCTCAGCTGTGAATCCAGGGGGCAGGCGTGTTGTGCTCTTCTTGGTTTGAAAGTGTTTTGCTGCCTAAAGGCAGCTGGCCTTGGTCGGTGGAGGTGACTTCCTGCTGAGCCTTTCCTTCAGCCTGTGGCTGTCTGGGTCCAGCGACCTGTGGATGCCCAGGCTCCGACCTACCGAAGAAGAAGAAGCTTCTTTGGGGTAATTGGTAGATACGCCCCCTGCGAAAACCGTTTTTGCTTTATCACGCGCAAACTTTGCTGGTTTGGCAAAAAGGGCCTACTGGAGAATGAAAATCTCCAGGTTCGTTATCTGGTAGAAAAAGGCCAAGTGGGCGGGACCGAATCCTGACCGCCAGATCTTAACATCAGAGTCATGATCAGATGGCCTGCGCTGCCTGTGCGCCCTCTCTACCGAACAGGAAGTTTGGGCACGATACCAAAAAGGTTTTCACGTGGGCCGTATCGACAAATTATCCCAGCCTCTTTGCACCCAACCGGTCCGAACAGATGCTTCTATTGGGTCTGATACCGTGCATTCAACAGATAATCTAGAATAGGTGAGTTGAAGATCCTGTGATACCACAAGCTTCCAGCCCTTAGGCCTAGAAGACGCGCGCAAACAATCCTTCCCCTCTCCGGACAACTTTTCTCAAAATATCCCGACTTTTTCAAAGTAGCCCTCGCGTAGTCGGTTATTTCCAAAACGATCAAACAAGCGCAAAGGGGACACACACTAAGCTCTCCGTTCAGGCGGATCAGCTCGGCTAGGGTCAGGACCGTACTAGCGGTCATGCCTGTCAGCATCCATGGCTGAGTGGGTGTCGTAGTCTTTTCTTTTTATTTTGTGAAAGAAAACACCAATTGGCCCTGCTAGTTATTGTCTCATTCTCCTCTTTTTTGGTCTTTTTGGTACACAGAGGTGAGATCGCTGTGTTATGAAAGCCTCAAACGGGCTTGGAGGCATCGTTATTGAAGTCCGTTCTCCTTGCAAGCAACAGCACAGGTGGCTTCTTGTGTATTGGCAGCCTCAAAATGTATACACGCGATTACGCAGTGATCACAGACATGGCAACCAAGTTTCCATGATGGCTGTGGAGTCGAACTTGACCCCTGTGTTCTCGTGTGCGACCTGTCCCCGAACTCACTCGTGATTCCCCACTTCAATGCTTAGTTTTTCTCTGTGTTGCTAGCCTCAGGCACCACTGAAAACCAATGCTTGCACGTTCTACAGCTCACAGCTCTTGCCCTGCAGACACTGCTCGACATAGAGCAAGTGGATTACTCACACACTTCAGAAGGGGATACCTGCAGTGGACAACGAGCTACCTGCGCAAAGCAGAAACACCAGAGTATCTGTCATTATGAACTCCATTTCATTCTAGGTCATAGTGTCCCCAATTGGAGTCTGGGGTCCTGGGAATACTCCACTTGTCCTTTCTTGAAGAGCAGCTTTGGAATCGTGTCATTGTCTGCAAACTCTTTGCCAGCTCTCTCTCTCTCTCTCTCTCTCTCTCTCTCTCTCTCTCTCTCTCTCTCTCTCTCTCTCTCTCTCTCTCTCTCTCTCTCTCTACCTTGTGGTTCCCTGGAAGTGTCGGATTTGTAGAGACACTCCCTAGTATGTTTCCTGCGAAGCTACTAGGGACGGGCACTCACTGTTGACAGAGAATAAGGATAGCACCGAGAATTGCTGTTTGAGTGCTTTTCTCTTCCCTGGTTACCATCAGTTTTTTTCCTCTTAGCATCCTTCGACCTTGTGGTCCCTGCTTTCTGTCTCGTCATTGTCAGTTTCCCGTGTTGCAGGCATCGAGGTTTTCTTTTTCCCCGCTTCTTGTAGATGGTTTGGACTCTGGAGTCTCAGACTATTTCTCGATTTGTGATTGTTATGCTTTCATAGGGGCAATGCTGTTGTTCTCTGTATCTTTCCATTCGTAACAGTCCATGATGTCCCAAAGAACAACAGTTATGGCAACGGCAGTTTCTATCTTGCTGTCCGCTAGTCAATCTAGTTTTACTGGGTCTTCCTGACCGGTGCTGTGGAGCGTTACTCTTCTGCTTCTTGCTAGCTGAAGCTTCTCTTCAGCTGCAGAGCTTGGTCGACATTATAGTTGTTTTGTTATTGTGCATGCACTGCCATGCAGTCCTCTGACACTCGTGTCCTCCCGGTTTCCATATTTCGACCTTAACTAGAATGGCAATTATGTGTCCTTTCATAACAGCTGATCAACTGGAACTCCAACGATACACAGAGTCTCTCAACAAGGACGAGGTGGCTTCTTTCCTACTTTAGAAACAAACTTGAGCTGAGAGGAGGTGGATAGATTTGGTGGTAGCAAAAGGGGTGGAGGTTTTCAATCCAGACTGCTCGCCATGACTGCTGTTTCCTGATGCTCGTGTCAATCTGGCTATGACAGGTAGAGTGGCGCTGGGATGATATGGAGGCATGGCGATGGGTTGAACATGGATACATGGTCGAGAATGTCAGCATAGCCACAGCTCCAGGCCCGAGGTATGTATGCGCTCCATCCCTGAAGCACCCCACCTTCCCCCCCCCCAAAAAAAAAATAAAAAAATTACTCGAAAACGAGCTCGCCTTTCATAGTTGCCGCAATTACCCTGCATGTTTGCTGAAATGTGAGTGATCCGGATATTGACCTGTCACCCAGCCTGAATGGTTGGGCCTGCCGGCTACAGCAAGGAGGCGTGCGACCAATCCGGACCATGCACTTTCGGTTTGTGGCATTGCGCCAAAATCTGTGTGGCAGGCGAAAGTAATTTTCAGTAACAGAGCGGACCCTACCCTACATCCAAGATACTATTCAGAATCCTTTATCAAATGAAAATCAGAACTAAAGAAAGAAGAAAGAAAGAAGAAAGAAAGAAAGAATAGCAGTAGCAGGGACGATGGGCACTGAAAAATGTGTCCCTCCTTCCCCTCCCCCCCCCCCACCCCATCCCACCCCTGCACCCTGCCCCCAGTAGCCTCTTTGAACTCGGTACAACAAACTTATCTGCAGGCTCTGTGTATGATGTTGGAGGCCCCCATTTGTCGTTGGGAGAACCGGTGTGCTATAACTCGTATGCATAATTGAGCCGCTGGGCTCCAATCGCCCCCTCAGCACCCCAAAAATGAGCGTGAACAGCCAGGCCTCGAAATCGAGGACAAACAGGCCCTAGGAAGGGGCCAGACCGACGGTTGACCGTAATTTCAACAGTCAACTCGTGGACCTAGACCCAGATCCGAGGAGTCAAAGTCAACACATGAGATTTCCTGGCTGATGATCTGGAATGATCTAACGGTGGTCTGCAGGTTCCGGAAGATTCAGGCCTCAAGGAGTCCAGACCGAAACTGGGACAAATTGCATCTGAGCCGTCGACAACGGGAGGATCCGGGGCCTCGCACAGACAGAAGCTAACCCTGGACAACGCCAGTCAACACCGTAAAGAGTTGACCTCGCAACTGCTTTGACATCGAGTCTTGCGAGTTGTTTGCGGTTTCGCTGCTGCACGTGAGACTTGAGAGGAGGACGCTGGTGCCAGGCTGTTTTGTGGGTGCCAGTCAGATGCTATAATAGGAGAGGGGAGAGAGGAGAAGGCAGCCATTGCTGAGGACGTAGACGATGGCGAGGTAGTGAGGGGAGAGAGAGAGAGAGNCACACACACACACACACACACACACACACACACACACACACTCCGCTGCCGTCCCCCGGTCCATAGCGCCGCACTGCCCGCTGCTCGCAATTACTCCTTCTGCTTAACCACGCACCCGGCGATTAGCGCCGAGCTCAAAAAATAGGCAACAGCAGCTCGTGAGGAAGAGGGTGGCGAAACAGATGGTACTCCCTATCAATATAGCGAAACGCCCAGAGCTGAGAAAGACAGGCTCAGAAAGGCATGCGACAAAGAGCGCGACGGCTATGGCGAGATTCGGTAGCAGGGCCAGTAGAAGGAGAAGGGCTGCGGCTGTGTTCAGGGCAGGAGTGGAGGGGGAAGGGCAGGTCGGGAAGGGTTCGGCGGGGCAGGAGGTGTCGGTCTGCATGACGCTTGGCCGAGGTACGTCTAGGCACAAGGTCGCGTGTACGAGAGCGTGAGAGTGTCCTCCGTCGATAGCGTTACCACTTCCTCCGCGTCCCGTTGCTCTTCTCCCAGGTCCCACTCCGCAAAGAAGTCCATGCCGTTCGCTTTTTCCCGAGCCTCTTCCGCAGCGCAGAAATCGGAACGCACCACGGCTAACCCGCTTGTCAGAAGCAATTATCGCACGGTGGTCCGATGAATAGTGCCTCCCTCGCCCTATACTAATATAGTTGTAGCGCATCCCTGGGAATAGCATTCTTTCGTTAGAAGCCATCATTCTCGTTCCTTCGTTTGATGTAGTAATCCTACAGCAAAAAAAAGACAAGAAAAGAAAAAAAAGAAAAACGAAAAGTAAAAATAGGAAGGGCAAATAGGCCGACCCCGTCCAAGGGCTCAATCTATCCCCAGGTGCCCCTAAAGTCGCGTATCCTGGCTATAGTCTGAGAGCGAGTCACTCCCATAGTTGGTTCCCAACTGATTAAATCCTGCGAGGGGACTTCTCTGTCGTTCAGGCTCCTGGCGAGCAGAAATTCAAGCATCTCCCCCGTTTGCTTATTATTATTCACTACTCCCTCATAGGGAAAAAAAGGAAAAAAAGAAGCGAAAAAAGAGAAAAAAAAAAGAGAAGAAAAAGGAAAAAGGAAAACGAAAAAAGAAAAAAGAAAAATGAAAAAATGAAAAAATTAGAAGAAAAGAAAAGAAAGAAAAGAAAAGAAAAACGAGGGGGAGAAAGAGGAAAAAAGGAAAAAAAGGAGAAAAGAAAGGAAAAAGGAAAAAAGAAAGAAAA